ATTTACGCGTTTTATAAATTCTGTGTTCTTATTTACCTGAGCGAAGTCGTTGAACCCGCCTACTGAGCACACCAATTTGAGTTGGCAAAAATACACTTAGAGGTATTCTAAATACTTAGCCTCGTTTCTGTCAAAGGTGTGGGAGCTGTACGTGTGCCAATATCCTGTAACCTACCTTACCCCTCTATTGTCAACCCATCTGTTTTTTTTTTAAACAACGCTGTTTGTCGACCTAATTGTATTTGTGCTGCTTTTTCAGCCATGTTCCCCCCTTTTTTTTATTTTTATATGTTCTCAACACATTTTATACTTTATACTCAATTAGTATTAAGTTTTAGTCATTAATGTTTTTCCTGCTCGAAACGCTTTGCGTAATAGTGGCTTTAGGCATTGTATGTACTAGCTCTATCTATAAATCTATAAATTTTTGTAAAATCTCTTGTATGTATGTACCTTACCTGAATAAACATTTATTTATTTATTTATTATCAGTCTCTCAGCTCTAATTGTATGCTTAAAGTTTTTATCTATGGTTGTATGTAACACGTTCACTCCGGCCACACTTGTGACGAATTTTATATAGATCACGAGGGAAATAAAACTTCTAGTCGAAATCCGAATTAACAGTATATAATGTATATATATACTGTTAATTCATGTAAATCATGGTAAACATGAACATAAACATTCATGGTAAATCATGTTTACGTGTTCTGCTCTTACTTTGACATAATTTTTGTAGTAAATTTTTATGTAAATTCACCCAATTATAAATGTACAACACTTATGAATAAAACTTTTGATTTGATAACGTGCGCGTCCCCCTATCAGCCAAGTAAAGCATCGTTGAGTTTAGTCTGTAACTGAATGGGTGAAGGACAGGTGTAATAGTATTTATGTTCATGATAATGGCAAGAATGCTCGCAGGAAAACAATATATATCACGTCAATAAATCCGTGGTGACAGTGGCAGGTGAACCCAGTTGGAACTTTTTTGGCTGCCTGTCTGCCTCTCACTAGGTCAGGCCGACTACAAGCACGAGTGTGTTTACCATCCCACAATACACATCCCGTCCTCATCACCCGCTGCCACCTCACCAATACCGGGTAAATCAGTATTAAAAGCTGTCGAAGAACCACCCCGGCACCACTCCCGTGCCAAGTAAGTCCACTATGGGCTCACCATAGCCCGTGCTACTTGCCCCGCTCCTGTGCCAGGTAAGTTACGGGCTCACCATAGCCCGTGCTACTTGCCCCGCTCCTGTGCCAGGTAAGTTACGGGCTCACCATAGCCCGTGCTACTTGCCCCGCTCCTGTGCCAGGTAAGTTACGGGCTCACCATAGCCCGTGCTACTTGGAACCTGTTCCGAGTGGCTGAATCTATAACAACAACAACAACCACCCCGGAAGGTTTTAAGTTACCTGGCACAGGAGCAGGGCTTTAATAAGTCCACTACGGGCTCACCATAACCCGTGCTACTTGGTACTTTTTGTTCTGAGTAGCTGATCCTCTATAACAACAACTTTTGCGAAGTATAATAAGGAAGTTCAGCCCTAAAGCCTATCCTTATAGTTTAACTATCTTATTTCTGATACGAGACTCGATGCCGATCTCTTTGATTTTTTCTTAGCTTGGGTTCGTTTCTTTGATGGGAGTTCTAGCGGCAAACTCAAGGATAGACCTCGCCTAAGTTGTAAATAATAGCAACACCTCATTTTATGTTCCAAAATGCAATTGTTGCCTATCAGTTTGTCGTAAGGTGACATCCTTTAATGCCTGGTGCTGGGCCAAGAGTTATGACGACTCTCAGCTCCTCTTCCTCAACTGGTTCAGGGAGCTGTCTCCCTGGATACTGCGAGTTTGTCATATAGTTGCTTGCCCATGGCTGTATGCCTACCCCATCTATTGTTTAGCCATACCGGCTTTCCTTCAGGTGTGGCCGAGCCGGTGCGAGGTACAGCCAGGTGACCTTGAGCAGCCTGTGGATAACCACTAAGACCTTTCCTGGCGTGATCTGCTCTCGTCCCTCCCTAATCCCTATTTACCGGCCCCGCTCCCTCCCTCCTCCAATCCCCACCCGACTCACCTCATCCCTTCCCCATCTCAGTTCACACTCTTGTGTAAGCTGAAGAGCACGCATATTAATATAGTGTACACCTTAAGGGGTGGTAACACAACACACAGCAAATACATTGCACTCAAGTGTACGAGGCAGACGATCGCAAGAAACACCTGATAGACCTAGACATATTACAATGGTCTGCCAATTGGCTACTTTAGATGATATGACAAGAAATCATTCAGAAATCTGACCAATTCTCAAACATACAGAGGTCCTCATCCTCTGTCAGACAAAAAAACCAAAGCTGGAAAAAGGTCAGAGGAGCATGCCCCTTGACTAGTCCCAGAGCTGAGAGGCATGCCGCAAAACACGTCGCAGAGCTGAAAGCGGCGGCATACTTGAGAATAACATCGTAGAGTCACGTTTAAATGTTGCCTCGCATACTAGGCTACATGTATTCCCTCCCCGTGACACAATTCAATTTCTTTCTTTATTATGCACCTCATATCCATCCCGTGACACCTAACGCATTTTGGTATCAAAACGATACCTTGTAATGTATCATTAAATATCATAATATCGACAAAAACCAACCACGGCACTTGACTCGGTATGCCAAGACATTCTACAAGGAAAGATGATAAAGCGTTTAAAGATTTTCTTTCCTGGTTCCATTATAGCCAAGCACCCAGGGAGGGGAAAGGGTAGACTGTAAGAGGCCAGATAATTATCCCCAACAGTTTATACCGGGTAGATTCTAGGCTAGACTATTTTGATACTCCGGGGGAAGACTCCGGTCTTCCGTGGAGTACACACCATTGCCATTCAACCTTTGATAATGGTTTATAGTGAACCAATCGTTCAATGGTGAACCATGGTGTGGGCAATAGTTCCCTGCTTGTGTCTTAGGAACCACAGTCAATTCAGTAATTTTTTTCGATATTTTGCCAATGTTTTTGTTTCCTAATAACAAATAATAACAAGTTTCCCAATACAAAAATTATGAATCTAGTACTTTTGTTGTTTTTACACAAAAAAGTTTTCATACTAAAAAAGTTTTTTCATAAAATCTAAAACATAAATGTAAAATTGTGTGAACATTATCAAAATCGGATGTAAGCTGACTGAAACAGAAAAAAATCTAATACTTGCCCATTAAATTTATTATCTGGTTATCAATAAATTCAATTTGTTTCTTATCAATAAATAAATATCAATCAGTATTTTAGCAATAAAACAAAACAAAAATAGTTGACCTTTTGAGACTTGAATTTTCCCGCCAAAAAATGCAGCGTCACAAACCCTCAATAATATACGTTTTAATTATATAACTTAAGTTTTGTAAATACTTTCTAATGACTTGAATTTAGTTAATTTGATTATATTTTATGTTCTCATAACAACAATATAGTAATAATAATAATAATAATAATAATAATAATAATAATAATAATAATACAAAACAATATACTAGTTGGCAAGTCACCGTTATTGCAAGATTTTCTTGTGCCTAAATTAAAAATAAAATAGTTAAGAAATGGCCATGGAACTTATGAATGAAATGAAAAATCATTAGTTGACCGATTATTTCAAATAATGCGCTCAAAATGGAGCTAAAAATCTAGCCTAAAGCACAAATTTTTGTAGCTAAAATTCTAGAGTAATGCATAAATTGTTGTAGGTTATACAAAGATGGATATTGTTGATTTGTGATGCTGTATTTTTGGCATGAAAATTCAAATCTCAAATTACCAACACCTAGGCTACCATATATCTCACCCTAGCCTACTACATATCTCTGTGGTAGCAGCCCTTCTAGGTCATTTAATACCAGTTATAAATTTGATTGGACACTAATGTAGCCATATATAAGCGTTTACTAAACCCACCCCACCCGCAGTTGGTCGCTGAGCACAGTGTGGTACCGCTTATTCTGGAATAATAGTATTCGTATTGCTTTCTTGTGAGCAAACTGAATGTCTATACCTGGAGTATACCTGGAGATGGTTCTGAGAGTTCTACACCCGAGGGACACAACAAGGGATGTTCCACACATGACTGGATAATGGTCCATGACGGACCGAAATGTCTTCGTTTCCCTATCTTCTGGTGTGGGATTTGGTCATTATACCTTCAGCCACGTTATTGTGACATCGTCTGCACAAGAGTTGTTTAATTTTAATCCCAACTAGAGCAGGTAACGAGATCAGACAGGGCTGCGACGAGACCAAAACGGTACAAAGAAAAACATAATTGGATTGTGGATACCAGCTGGTGCTATCCAAACTCTAAGTTTAGTAGAACGTCTGCTTCAGATATCTTCAAGTTAGTAATGGCTCAGTGGATAATGCTTGTGTCTGGAGAGTCCAGGGGTGCGAAATGTAGCCTATATCATTGCCCAAATTGTTTATCATAGATTATCACGTTGATGTGACTGAATTCCCCCCCCCCCCCCCCACAAAAAAAGAAGAAACAGAACTAGCGCACGTGTGGACATTAGCAGGTTAGATGACCTATATATAGGGATCTAAGACAGCACTTCTTCAGTGCAAGAGTTGTGAGCAAACAAAAAGAGTTGCAAGAGAAGGTTGTTGACCCTAACGCCACACTAATTTCAAGAGTAGTTATCACAAGAAGCATCAGAGGGTCGGGTGCCATTAAAAGCAACGGGCGATTGAAAGGCGGAAGTTTATTTCCGGAGCACGAGCGATGAACACGTGTGGTGAATTGTGAGGAAATAGTTTAGGCAGAATCTATCTACAATTGTGAAGGAGGATATAACAAATAAGACTATTAGAAGTTATTTTTTAACCCAGCTAACTGATAGCAAGGGAGGGGGGGGGGGGGCAGGGGTCAAGAGCCAGGCCTCTCCGCAAACCCAAAGAATGATATTGACGAAGGTGTTGACCTTGATGAGCGGGTACAATGTCTTCTTACCTGGACCTTCCCTGCAGGGAACACAGTTCACCCACCGCCATCTCTCGTGTCACTGGCCTTACTGCCTCAGTCAGGGAGGGAGAGAGGGCTTGGCACGCCCGCAGGTCTCTCTCTCACACACACACACACACACACACACACACACACACACACACACACACACACACACACGAGTCATCGTCCTACTTCGTCCTCCCCACTGTTGTGACGCTGCTCACACGTGCTATTGTACTCATAGTAGCGTGCTATTGCTACTCGACACATATTTGGGTATTTATATTATTGCATTTTTCAGCCTCAGTAATAATAATGCGATTCCAGCAGACGTCGTACACAAGGCAACATGTATTTTCCCCTTGCGTCTGTCTTATAATTAATGAGAGCGCGGCCTTAATAGCCTCAGCAACACCAACAGGTTTGAAGACCCCAGTCTCCTGACCTATATTATATATATATATATATATATATATATATATATATATATATATATATATATATATATATATATATATATATATATATATATATATATATATATATATATATATATATATATATATATATATATATATATATATATATATATATATATATATATATATATATATATATATATATATATATATATATATATATATATATATATATATATATTGTGGATTCCCGCGAAAATGAAGTTACAAGGCGTTCACAGCTGGCTCCGGCGCACATGTGGACGTTCACAGCTGGCTCCGACGCACATGTGGACGTTCACAGCTGGCTCCGACGCACATGTGGACGTTCACAGCTGGCTCCGACGCACACGTCGACGTTCACAGCTGGCTCCGACGCACACGTCGACGTTCACAGCTGGCTTGGGCGTACATATCGAGGATTGGAGCCAGAAACTTGATGACATAACCCAACTCACACAATGTTGGGTTAGGAATGCCAAGAGGGTGTGTAACAGTGTACAAACTGGTAGAGGGAATGACACGAAATAACTAGTACAAAGAAAAGGTGGCAAGAAAATTTATGAAAAAAATTGTGGATATTTTTGGGGTGTAAACTCAAGGAAAGAGATACAAACTATAGAAGGAATATTGAAGGAAGGAATGAAACATTAGTAAAAACAAATATAGATTAACTCAAACAAGACTGAATGAAGAGCTTGGAAAAAAAAATTAATCAAAACTTTGTAACTTTACAGAAAACAGGAAGTTGTTTTGCAAAGTTTATCAGGGAGACTAATGGAAAAAGCCAGTGGATATACTCAAGGTATGCCTGAGAGAACGTTCATTGTTGGAAACTATAAGTCGCCAGAGAGACTGACATACGAAAATTAAGAGCAAACTTGATGAAAAGCAATATGCAAATGTAAACATGACTGATTTGGCTAGTGAGAGACTGCCAGAGTGCCAAAAGTTATGTCCCTGGGAGAGCCGAGCAGGTGTGTGTGTGTGTGTGTGTGTGTGTGTGTGTGTGTGTGTGTGTGTGTGTGTGTTCACGCGCGTGCAGGAGCTGACGCAAGAGACAAGCAGGTGTGTGTGTGTGTGTGTGTGTGTGTGTGTGTGTGTGTGTGTGTGTGTGTGTGTGTGTGTGTGTGTGTGTGTGTGTGTGTGTGCAGGATCTGACCGCTGACAACTTTGTATGACGGGAATCAATAGAGGTTATCGAATGTGATAATACGAATATCACATTTGATAACCATTTGATATAATATCACATATCACATATTAATGTGATATGTGATATTATTCAGTCTTCCAACAGGTCATAATAGAGATACATGTGGAATAGTTGAATGTTTTACTGTCGTGAAAGACTGCTGGTAATTAATAAATGCGAGGACACGTAACCTAATCAAGGTGGAAAATTTCACGGCAGGTGAAATCTAAGCGATGTTCTTATATTTGCCAGCGTCTCATACGCTGCCGATGTTATCATGTATATATGTGCCTCTCGTGTTAGTGTGCTGTAGATGCCTTTTGGTTTCTCCTCTACCTTTTCCACTCTTCATTACCTTACACTTGTTGGGATTAAATTCCAGCAACCATTTGTTTGACTACTCCTGGAGTTTATCTAGGTTCTCCTATAACTTTCCACAGCCCTCTTCTGTTTTTACATTCCTCATCAGTATCCGCTTATTTATTTTATAATGTGGCGTCATGTAGCCTTCGTGCAGGAGAATAACTTGTGTGTGTGTTGTTGCTACCAGGCCTCTCCACCAGAGGTCGTTGGGCACAATCTATGAGTGTCATGAATGTACAGTTTGTTCACCCGTTGTTAAGAACATAAGAACAAAGGTAACTGCAGAAGGCATATTGGCCCATACGAGGCAGCTCCTATCTATAACCCCCCCATACCACTCATATACATGTCCAACCCGTGCTTGAAACAATCGAGGGATCCCACCTCCACCACGTTACGCGGTAATTGGTTCCACAAATCAACAACCCTGTTACCGAACCAGTATTTACCCAAGTCTTTCCTAAATCTAAACTTATCCAATTTAATGAGTAGATATGTCCTGCAATGGAGTCCGCGGGGAGTGAGCTCGAGGAAGTAAGTGTTCCTACGTGACAACTGATGCATGCAGTACGGGTCGGCATCAAGTGGAGCCTATCAGTACGGGTGGGCATCAAGTAGAGCCTATCAGTACGGGTGGGCATCAAGTAGAGCCTATCAGTACGGGTGGGCATCAAGTAGAGCCTATCAGTACGGGTGGGCATCAAGTAGAGCCTATCAGTACGGGTGGGCATCAAGTAGAGCCTATCAGTACGGGTGGGCATCAAGTAGAGCCTATCAGTACGGGTGGGCATCAAGTAGAGCCTATCAGTACGGGTGGGCATCAAGTAGAGCCTATCAGTACGGGTGGGCATCAAGTAGAGCCTATCAGTACGGGTGGGCATCAAGTAGAGCCTATCAGTACGGGTGGGCATCAAGTAGAGCCTATCAGTACGGGTGGGCTCCGAGAGACGATGTTGTAAAAGCCATCGCCAGATACAACTTTAAGGCCAGACTCGACACTGAATTCGAACCTTAGAATAGGTTAATTATTACGCAGCAGGTACAACAAGGCCAGTAAGCCGGGCTTAAAGAGCTAGACCACATTTTCCCTAGACACTGATAGGCAAACCACTCCCACTCCCCCCTTCTCCCTGAACCTGTACATTACCTGTGGTGACCTGGTGGCCGGGCTACACCCAGGAAATATTTACCCCGACTTGAGCCCGAGATTGAAATTGAAATTGAAATTGAAATAAGTTTATTGAGGTAAAATACACACAAAGGGATGAGGTAGCTCAAGCTATTCTCACCCCGTTCAGTACAACGTGTTAGTACATACATAGACACACATCACAAACAATAAACCTGTTACCAAACATTCTGAGAGATAAACATGTACATTTCCTCCTTCACAAGTAGTATGGTATCAGACGTACACAAATACTTTTATGACCTAGTTATACGGATAATTCAACAAAATATTACAGTCTTGGTGCAAAATTCTTATATCTCTCAAGAATATCATCAACCTTTCCTTTGTGACACATCCAGGCTATTTGCTCAGGAACAGTCCTTATCTCAGTGTTTCTATATACATTAATCAACGGGGAGCCCGAGATTACCAGCTAAAGATGTCCCCGGCCCTCCCCACTCTTCAACACGGAGGGAGTGCAAGGTTATATATCTTATCGTAATACCCGGTTTATCCACCAGATAAAATTGCTCACTCAACCTAAAACAACAATTTTCTTTATATTAATAGTCAAAGATAAAGTTATTAAACAAATATAAAATTTGAAGCCAAACAAGGGCCAGACGAAGCCTAGGGCCAGACGAAGCCTAGGGCCAGACGAAGCCTAGGGCCAGACGAAGCCTAGGGCGAGACGAAGCCTAGGGCCAGACGAAGCCTAGGGCCAGACGCAGCCTAGGGCCAGACGAAGCCTAGGGCCAGACGAAGCCTAGGGCCAGACGAAGCCTAGGGCCAGACGAAGCCTAGGGCCAGACGAAGCCTAGGGCCAGACGAAGCCTAGGGTCAGACGAAGCCTAGGGCCAGACGAAGCCTAGGGCCAGACGAAGCCTAGGACCAGACGAAGCCTAGGGCCAGACGAAGCCTAGGGCCAGACGAAGTATTGGGTTCTTAAAGAATGTAAAGAATAAACACACACACATCACAATAGTGTGATGCATCAAATGAACAAATCCACAGTAACTTCGGTTTCAACTCTTTTCACCATGTCGTAGCTCAGTCGATTAAGGCAGCGTCTGGGATGCTCCCGGGCGTAGGTTCAAATCCTCGTCACGGCCCTTGTGGATTTGTTCATGTAAAGAATTGTTTACAGCGAGTCCTTGCCCTTGCTGGCGCATTTAATAAATCATTAGAGTCTTGTAGAGTGTCGTAGAGTCGTGGAGGGTTGCTAATGTGGTGCCGAGTTTTACGAATGATAGATCACTTATGTCGAACTATCGTCCAATTAGCTTAACGTCTCTCTTAAGAAAATTGCTTGAATCCACCATCGCAAAAGTAATTTGTTTCCATCTTCAATAATGTAGATTAATAAAGGATTCACAACATGGATTTACTAAGAGTGAATCAGTTGTGTTCAGTTGACTCATTCTTTTCCAGTATATTTCAAGCAACTGATATCGGGAAGGATTGCAACAGTTCGTCTTGAAAAAATTATATCTTGCTTGTCTGAATACCTTGCACCCGTTATCTGGTTTAGGACGTGTTAGTGTGTTTCGACATTGTTTTAACGCCAAAACGTCGAGCCCCGCTCCTGTGCTAGGTAAGTCCACTACGGGCTCACCATAGCCCGTGCTGAATCTATAACAACAACAGCCAAAACGTCCTCGCGATCTGACAAGCATCAAATCTGAAGTGGTTTTGCCTAGCCAAATGAGCTCAAAGCCAGACAACTTACCTACACTATCTTGGTCGATGCTCATTAGTCTGAGGAGCGTCAATATTATGGTACTTTTAATTTGACTAAAGCACCGGAAATGTTGACGCTATATTGACCATACCGTAAATATTGCGGTGCATTCTGTGCAGAGGGCTGGCCGAGGACAGGTA